AAATTGGTAATTTATAATGAGATTGCAATTCCACAAAGCATGGAATTGCAATTCATAGGGTGGAGGCATGAATTGTAATTCAGCAAAAGGAGGGAATTGCAATTCAGCGGAATTGCAATTCCCTCCAACCAAACAATGTAATTTCACCTTTTATTGAATTTCAATTCTTTTACAACCAAACTACATTGTACCAAACAGGTCATTATTAACATGGGATAAGATCAGTTCATTTGTTGATGTAGTGATTAATCAAAGCAAAAAGAATATAGGGTTTGGTTGTATTATCAGAAAGTCATATGAAATTTTCATTGTAGTTAGGGAGATTATGGTTTATGGGGTCGTTTACTTCATTTCTCTGTTTTTCCATTTCCAGTTTTCCATTTTTCCAATTCTTAAATTTTTCTTCTCCATTTCTCCAGTTTTCCATTTTTCATTCTCCATTCCTCCATCTTTTCATTTCTCTAATTTTCTGATTTCTCGCTCTATAATAATAATAACAACAAAGATAATAATAACAATAACAATAATAATAATATGTACTAAAAAACAATAATATTTAATATTACATTTGTTAATATAAGTATTACATTTGCATATTGATCCGACCTGTCTCACAAATAAAGATATCTGAGACGGTCTCACACAAGTGTGTAATAATAATAATAATAATAATAATAATAATAATAATAATAATAATAATAATAATAATAATAATAAAAGAAATTAAAGAAGAGGCGCTCAGGAGAAATTAAAGAAGAGGAGAAAGAATAGGCAAAGAGAAGAGGCGCTCAGCGCTGAAAAGGAAAACAAACAGCAACAAGAATCAAAACTAAGACCTCAAGGTCATGTGGTACTGTTCACCCACTATATCCATTTCTCTATTTGGAGATGTTTGTTTTGGCTTTCTCCAAAATTGTTAAGAGATGTGGAGAATGGAAATGGAACATGAATTTGGAGAAGTAAATTTAGTAAACAAGTTTTCTATTTTCCATTCTTCCACTTCCATAATTCTCTGTTTTTTTGGAAAATTCTCCATTTTTCCATTTTAGTAAACAGCCCCTATGTACTTCTTTTGATTTGATTATAAATGATGTAGTTGAATGTTTGATCTATGTTTAGGATGTTCTTATCCCTGCAAATATCTCTCGCTCTAAAAAATGGGTCCCACTTCCACATCATTTCATTTGTAAATTATCTACTATTCACATTACATTCCTACAAATCTAATCAACCTTCAAAAGTGGGCCCAATATATTAAATAACATTATTAATTATATTAAAATATTAAAAATACAAATAATCAAATAATTTTTTTTAAAAAAAATACAAAAGCTGCCGCATTTCATTAAAAAAAATAAAAAATATATATGTGGCTTTGCCACATCACTTTGCAAAGGAGAGTTTGGCTGGGATGTGGACAACCTTATTAAATGGTTTACACATATAGTTGTTCATACCTTAGTTAGGAGCATCATTTATATGTATGGAATGGTTATTGATTTTGCCTTCTCCTTTTATATGAAGCTTTAAGTTTGAATGTTTAGTTTAATGAATTTTGTTTCTCTTTAAAAAAATTAATAAAATAAAATTTATTACCACGTCAAAACATGAAATATTACGAATAAATTACATTTTTGTTTTATGCTGATTAAAATAAATACAAATATAGTTTCTTTTTAATCTTTGGGAATTTCACCTCAACTTTTGCCTTTTTAAAACTATGCTTTAAAAAGTAATAATAAAATATTATGGAATATTGAGTTTAAAAAAATTAAAATATTTTTTAAAAAAAATATTTCCCCAGCAAGCCATAATAAACATGCAAAACTGTTCTTAATTACTCACCCTGGATAGTGGATATATTCAAGTTTATCCAGGATAGAAACGTTAGGAGGGACTCCAGTATTCTGCATTTACAAGGCATTTAATTGTAATGAAGGAATTAAATCGGTGAGAACAGAATAAAGTGTGAATAAAGTAGGAATTACAATTATATTGTTTGGTAGGGAGAAATAATAGAAATGGGAGAAGTGATATAAAGACTATAATATCTTTCTGTAATAATATTAATAATAACATTCAAAAGGCAAATATGTCATTTCATTCCTTTTCATTGTATGGATGAATTCATTGAATTGCAATTCATAGGAGACTTATGAATTGCAATTCAATAAATTGAGGGAATTGCAATTCTCTCCAACCAAACAATGCAGTTTATCATTTCATTGAATTGCAATTCAATACCAATATAATTAATGCCAACCAAACACCCAATTAATATTTTGCCTAAAAATGAATCTGTATAAAAATGAGCATTCAATATATTAAAAATATTTATTTATCAGTATAACCAAGATTTGCTTTATCCGGTATCAAACGAGAACTACGAGCAAATAGAACACCTTTCAAGTTTGTCTTGCAATATGCCAATATGAGGAGTTGTTATAACTAACATGGTTGGCGTGGTGGTTTAGCACATCGTCCCTTAACCATGAGGTTGGTCAGTCCCTTTAGTGTGCCGACCGTTGAAACGGAGGATTAGTCTTCTAACTATCGGCTGGAGGGATACCTTTGGACAACCAAAAAAAATATCATGAACCGAGTTCACTTCGCAGGGTGAATCCAAGTCCAAAACGATGCAGTTTTGCGTGTCTGGAATAACGGTGCCGTTAGCGACACCGCTTCCTTAGTCAATGATATATAACTATATAACTATATATATATATATATATATATATATATATATGTATAGAGTAATTCCAGCAATGGTTCTCTGACTATATTGATTTTTCAAAATTAGTCATTGACTTTTAATTTGGACACTTTAGGTCCCTTGACTTTCAATTTCTTTCCAATTGAGGTCCTTTCGTCAGAATACGGTTAATTAAATTTTAAATGAAGGGGTAAACTCATCATTTCACCTGCCTATGTATTATTCTTAGTATTTCTCCATTGTTTACGCGATATATATGAAGATAATCTTAGTCGAAATCCTAAAATGTTCCTCGTCGTTCCCCATTTGCTGACTTATCGTGTGTGCGTTCCTCTATTATTGAGATGTTTACAAGGTATAACAGCGAAATACGAAGGGAGAAATACGAAGAATAATACATAGGTAGGTGAAAGGACGAGTTTACCCCTTCATTTAAAGTCTAATGAACCGTATTCTAACGAAAGGATCTCAATTGGAAAGAAATTGAAAGTCATGGGACCTAAAGTGTCCAAATTAAAAGTCGGGGACTAATTTTGGAAAATCACTATAGTCGGAGGACCATTGCTGGAATTAACTATATATATATATATATATATATATATATATATATATATATATATATATATATATATATATATGAAAATAATTTTTTTTTTGTTTTTAAATTCAGACAGCATCATTTCAAACAAAACGATGTCATTTTGGATTTTGGATTTGGGTCCACCTTATCCAGAGCATAATTGGCAAATTATATTATGCACCGCGCGTCTTTTTTTTTTAAATGAAAATTAACAGTGTTTATTTCCGCCGTGTCGCACCCTTTTGCAAAAAGTAACTCTGTTATTCAGTGTCATTTTGTATACACTGCAGTTTCAGTTGAACACAACTACAGTTTCATTTCGATATAACTATAGTTTCATTCGATATTTATAGACTCAAATATGTGAAAATGTTATTTAATTTTATTTTATATACACTATAGTTTCATTAAAACACAACTACATGATCATTTTGATATAATTACAGCTTCATTGTACAATATATACTCAAATATGTGAAATGTATTCAGTTTCAGTTTATATACACTGCAGTTTCATTTCACTATAACTACAGTATCATTTTGATATAACTGCAGTGTCGGTTTGGATATACTGTAGTGTCAGTTGGTGTTTAATATACCAAACAAACGGACTCCGTTAACTCTAACGGCGGGCCGTTTCTTTACTTAAAAAAACGGCGTCGTTTTTGACCGCGGTGCACATGCACCACGGTCTATAATATAACGACTGAGCATAATTTGCTCCAGAGATGGGAAATGAACTCACGAATAATGGGCTTAAAGCCCATATCCAGATAATGGAAACTCTTACACGAAGCCCATCAAAAGAGAAAAATAAACAAGAAAGAAAATTCGCGACGCTGTCCGTTCCTCCGGGGAAGCAATCGTTATGCCTTGGACCCGTGTCCAGCATGCTTGCTGGACACGGGTAACAGTGCCGTTAGGCACTGTTATCTCCTTTTTTTTTTTTTTTTTTTTTTTTATTTTAAATTTCAGATCACTTTGTTAATTGTTATAGAAGTATATGTTCATAATTTTATTACTATATGTTAATAACTATACATTCATAACTCCATAACTGTACGTTCATAACTCTATAACTGTACATTCATAACTCTATAACTGTACATTCATAACGTCATAACTGTACATTCATAACTCCATAATTGTACATTCATAATTTTCGAAGCTCTATGTTCACAATTTTAGAGCTCTATGTTCATAATTTTATCACTATATGTTCATAATTGTAAGTTCATAATGTTAGAGCTCTTTGTTCATAATTCGATCAATAACTGTACATTCATAATTTCATAACTGTAGATTCATAATCTCATAACTGTAGATTCATAACTCCATAACTGTAGATTCATAACTCTATAACTGTACATTCATAATCTTCGAAGCTCTATATTCACAATTTTAAAGCTCCATGGTCATAATTTTATCACTATATATGTTCATAATTGTAAGTTCATAATGTTAGAGCTCTGTGTTCATAATTTCATAATTGCATAACTGTACATTCATAACGGCATAAGTGTACATTCATAACGGCATAACTGTACATTCATAATCAAAAAAAAAAAAAAAAACGCCGTTAACGGCAAAACACGCGCGATTTTTTTTTTTTTTAACTAAATGAGGCGTTTTTTTTTTTAAAACTACGTCGTTTTGGGCCCGTGTCCACAATTCAATGTGGACACGGGTCCAGAGCATAATTTGCCCCGGGGAAGCCCGCAAAGCAACCGCTTGGTTTAACGGATTCAGAGAAACAGCGAAGACAGTAAACAGTTGATGAGTGAATTCGGTAGTGTGATCCGGGCAAGATGATGGTGGATCTGAGCTCCTTCTCCGATGAGAAGTTCGACCCCAAGCAATGGATAAACGGGGCGTGCCAGTCGCGGCACCCGCAGGACCCGCTGGACAAGCACCTGGTGGATCTGGAAATGAAGCTCCAGATGGCGTCGGAGGAGATCGCCGTCTCCCTCGAGGAGCTCAGCGCATCTGCTCTCCACCGCGTCCCCCGCGCCACGCGTGACGTTATCCGACTCCGCGATGACGCCCTCTCGCTCCGCTCCTCCGTCTCTTCCATCCTCCAAAAACTCAGAAAGGTACCTTGTTCCTACTTGTTCCTCAGTCAATTTCAATTTCATGAATGAAAACTTCGAATGTGGTATGCTAATTTTAATAAAATGTTTGAAATTCGTGTCAGTCAATTGAATGCATTTGTGAAATGTTTTGAAATTCTCCCGCATATATTTATGGTACTTGTATGCATGTTTGATGCTCTTCATTTGACGAATGTTCCCCAATTATCCTTTATTCTCCTGTAACGTTGCTTCAATTCACCTGCTGAATCTATAGCAATACTAGCCAAAGTAGAGCGATGAATCACTTTTCTTCTTCCACTTTTATTCCCATTTTAGGCAGAGGGATCATCTGCAGAGTCCGTAGCTACACTAGCAAAAGTCGATACTGTCAAGCGAAGAATGGAAGCTGCTTACGAGACATTGCAGGTGCCCCCATTTCCCTTTAATCTTCTTTCCCTGCTTCTCATATATGGAGTAATTCAGTACTTAATTAGGACCCTCTATAATTTAGTCAGAAATTTTGTGCTTGGCACTATCAGTCTCCCTGTGATATTGCTTGCACTAAATGCTCCCATCTCCTAATGGACAGGATGCAGCTGGTTTGACTCAATTAAGCTCAACTGTGGAGGATGTATTTTCGAGTGGTGATCTTCCACGTGCTGCAGAGACACTGGCAAACATGAGGCACTGCTTGTCTGCTGTTGGTGAGGTACTGTTTAAATTGGTTGTCTTTGTTTGGTGTTAAATCATGTTTTATTGGGCGCTAAATTGCTGTATTAATGATCCTAAAATTTCCAGGTTGCTGAATTTGCTAATATTAGGAAACAACTTGAAGTTTTAGAAGATAGACTAGACTCGATGGTGCAACCTCGCTTGACAGATGCATTAAGCAATCGGAAGGTTACTTTAATTTCACATTTTCTCCTTCCCTTTTGCAAAATATTTTTCACTTCACAATCATTTGAATGCACATATCTCCTTGGAGACTGTAGAAAAGGGACATAAAATAGAAATCCTTGTTTCTAGGTTGATGTTGCCCAAGAAATGAGGAGTATTCTCAATAGAATTGGGAGATTCAAGTCATTAGAACTGCAATACTCAAAGGTCCACCTCAAGCCTATAAAACATCTTTGGGAAGATTTTGAGTTGAGGCAACAGGCAAATAAGGTTTCAAATGAGAAGAATGAAGTAGAAAGGCTCTCAAGTGCTAATGAGTTGCAACTGAATTCATCTCCGATTTCATTTTCACGTTGGCTTCCCAGTTTTTATGATGAATTGCTGCTTTATCTTGAACAGGAGTGGAAATGGTATAATTTAGTCTTCTTCAGAGTGAACTTTCACATTTCTGGTGTACAACATGGATATACTTCAAAATTATTTTGTATAAAATATTGCATTCTTTGTGGCTGTTTGAGGATAGATTGCAGTTTATGTTTGAGTAAAACTAGTTTGATATTTTCTACAGGTGTGTGCTTGCTTTTCCAGAAGAATATAAAACACTTGTTCCAAATCTAGTAATTGAAACAATGTCAGCTATTGGTTCAAGCTTTGTATCATCTATCAACCTGGCTGCTGGGGAGGCTGTCCCCGAGACAAAAACATTGGCCAAAGGTTAATTTCTAGTACTCTTTTGGAGTGGTCTGTAATCATATTTCCTATAGACCTATGTGTTTTCTTGCTAATATACCAGTATTGCCTTCCCTATCGTTCTTGTATACTCATTTTAGGTAGTAGTCCTAGTTAACTATTGCCTCCATCCAAATATGTCACAAATTTTTATAGACATGGGTTAAGAGTTGAGAGGCTTTTAAATCATAAAAAAGTTCTGTTTTAAATTTGAACTTGAGTTGCTCATGTCATGATGACATGGAAGAAAGTTGGTTGTGACTGTGTCAGTGTGTCAAACATTTGAGGACATCTCAAAAAGCAAGGTGTCACATAGACAAAGGGAAATTGCACAAATGCATTTTCATGGAGCTGTCTAATTCTTTAAGGAAAAGTCAATATCCGTCTGTTGTTTACTTTGATGGTGTTTGTAAAACATTTTTCAGCCTCTTGTTTAAAACAAATCATGCTCTTCTAGTCACCAATTTTAGCATATTCTTTCTTGTTTTCATGTAAATGATATTTGGTTATGTAAGCAAGGATGCGGTAATGGAGCAAGTATGGATTTGTAAATAGAAACCTTATATAAATATTATGACCTTTATTAAATGATAGATGAGCATGTGTCCTCTCTCATTCATCATCCATATGGCATCCAAACATACCTGTACTATATTTTGCTAAGCATTTTCTATGATCTTAGCTAAGATTCTATGTCAAAAATTCAGGTATCATAGACATCTCAACTGGAGATTTGTCAAAAGGTGTCAAGGTCCAAACCAAACATCTGGATGCCTTAATTGAACTTCACAATACAACAGGGAGTTTCGCTAGGAATATCCAACACCTATTCTCAGACGCTGACCTTCAAGTTATGTTGGATGTTTTGAAAGCCATATACCATCCTTTTGAATCATTTAAACGACGGTGAGCACATATGAAGTAAAAGTTTATAATGGCACATGGTTTTGCTGAAGCATTCTTTTGGGCATCCTGCTTTTAAAGATTTATCTAGTTTTCTAGACAACAAAATTTTTTCTTAACCTATCATCATATAGTTATAATGGCACGTGGTTTTCCTGAAGCATACTTTTGGGCATCCTGCATTTAAAAATTTTCTAGTTTTCTAGACAACAAATTTTTTTCTTTGGTGTTACAATTTGGCTCGAATGTATCGGCTTTTAATTAACTCAGCTTCCAATTTGGCTCTTGTGATTAAGATTTTTTCTGGTGATTGCTACATCTATTGTTGTTGTCCTTAACCATGGAATTGGATGGTTTTCTTTGGTGTTACAAAGTTTGTTTCACTAGATTCAGCATGCTAGGTGAAATAGCCAAAACAGGATCTTTAAATATACATCATACTATTATTCTTTATTGGCTTTCTGAACTAAATGTTCTTGCATTGTCTGCCTGATTGATCTGTTCTTAGGTATGGGCAGATGGAGCGTGCCGTTCTCTCTGGTGAGATTGCAGGACTTGACCTCAGAGGAGCTGCCATCACTCTTGTTGGGGTTCAGGGAGTTGAACTTAGTGAAACAGTTCGAAGGATGGAAGAGTCTATCCCACAAATCATTTTACTTCTTGAAGCTGCTGTAGAGAGATGCATTAATTTCACTGGTGGTTCTGAGGCGGATGAGCTTATTCTTGCTCTGGATGATGTTATGCTACAGTACATTTCCACTCTGCAGGATAATTTAAAATCACTAAGAGCTGTGTGTGGATTGGATGCTGATGCTGTTGGTTCAAAGAAAGAAATGGGATCTGACAGGAGGGAAGGAGCTTCCAACTCACGCAAGGTTGACTTCATGTCAAATGAGGAGGAATGGTCATTTGTCCAAGGTGCATTGCAAATTCTCACGGTTGCTGATTGTTTAACCAGCAGATCATCTGTCTTTGAAGCTTCCCTCAAGGCTACCCTTGCCAGATTGAGTACAAATTTATCTTTTTCGGTATTTGGTTCAAGTCTTGATCAGAACCACTCACATGCGGCCAATGATGATGGAAGTGGACAGGTAGCTGTGACCGGAAGGGCTGCCTTGGATGTGGCATCTGTGAGGCTTGTTGGTGTTCCTGAAAAAGCTCGGAAACTTCTTAATCTATTGGAGCAGGTAGTTGAGATAGAGAAAGCTTACTACCTTTCTCAGAGTTGATGCCAATATCTGTTTTCTACATTTTTTGTGGTTAAAAATAAAATGAATATATCAATGCTAGTTTCCCCTAAAGTGGGTGTCAAATTGATGAATAAATAGATGGCAAGAACCTATTACCTATCTGGTGATCTGGGGAAAAATAATAAAGAGTTGCCACATACATCTGCATGTCCTTTTCTTTTCTAGATCTGGAAACCTCTCTGTCCATCTATACTTTTCTTATGTGATGTTTATATTAAATTTATGAGTAATTTTTTTTTGTATTTCTTGCAGTCTAAGGATCCCCGGTTTCATGCACTTCCAGTTGCTTCTCAACGGGTTACGTCTTTTGCAGATGCTGTTAATGAGCTTGTTTATGATGTACTTATATCAAAAGTACGACAACACTTCAATGATTTATCTCGTTTGCCTATATGGTCTTCTGTAGAAGAGCATAGTGCTCGTCCCCTCCCAACATTCAGTGCATATCCTCAGTCTTATGTTACTAATGTTGGTGAGTATCTTCTGACGTTACCCCAACAATTAGAGCCTCTTGCAGAGGGAATTTCCAATTCTGATGCCAATGCTGATGAGGCCCAGTACTTTGCTACTGAATGGATGTTTAAGGTAACTAAATTTTAAAATTTTATGTTGTAATTTTGTCTGTTTCCATTATTAATGCTATTACTGGCAGCTTATCTGAAATTCTGAATAGATGAACTATCATATTGCATCTGCACTCTTGGATTTTAGTTCTTATGCTATAAGTAGTAGTGTGCTTGGTTTTTTTCCCAAAAATGAAATGTTTAAATCCAATCTTCATCATTTAAAGAAGAATTCGATAACTCCTGGGATCTAATGGCTGTTTTAGAAAAAATAGTGTATTTTTATTACTGGGATTTTAAGTAGTTAAAATATGTTCTCAATAAAACACATTCCATTAGTTAAAATATGTTCTCAATAAAACACATTCCATTAGTTAAAATATGTTCTCAATAAAACACATTCCATTTAAACTTTACTCCAGTTAAACCTATAAGTTAAACTATTATTTCTTCTGTTTGTATTGAATAGGTTGCAGAAGGTGCTACTGCTCTTTATGTGGATCAATTGCGTGGCATTCAGTATATCACCGATCGTGGAGCGCAGCAACTCTCTGTTGATATTGAGTACTTAAGTAATGTGCTTTCAGCTCTATCGATGCCCGTTCCTCCAGTTCTTGCCACCTTCCATTCATGTCTCTCAACTCCAAGAAGTCAGCTCAAGGAACTTGTAAAATCTGATTCTGGAAATCAGCTTGATCTACCCACTGCCAACCTTGTGTGCAAAATGCGCCGTGTTAGTTTGGAGTAATGGCACAATGATTGGAGCATTCCTACTGTTCAGAGACCCTGTAAGGTTCACCCTTTCTGGGCCAGTATACTTCGTTGGGTGTGTGGTTTAAGAATTATGTTACCCCGTATCATATTCTGCTTGTGCTGGGGAAAAAGGGAGGATAGGCTGGAATTTTTTTTTCCCCAATCATGCATTTTTGTTGTACTATACGAAATTGGTGTCATGCATCTTTCATTGCAGAGAAAATATCCCCATTTCTTTGACCCCTTTCCCCATGGTTATACCCGTATCGTTTTTCTGTTCTCATTTTATGCAAACATTGCATAATTTGCATTATATTATACCCCGTAGTAATTAAGAGGCAATGCTGCTTTAGAAAATTACATACTGCAAATAAGATAGATACCTAATAGTTTAAAACTTGATAGGCTCGTTTTGGTTTCTCATTTTATTGTTAAAACAAACATCCTGGTTGTTATTGCCGTGACGCATAATCTCCAAAAAAATCAAAAATCAAATAACTTCCCAGTTCTTACACGTTGAATAAAGTTTTGTAACCAAGAAACATGAAAATCGACGACCACACTTAACTAGTTACTAAAAGTACTTTCTAGGATATTAGCGGTTCTGGTCGGGTAGTCTTCAGCTTTAATGCTCGGAGTTGCACTGGTGACGGAAAACTATAGATGAAATAAATAGCCAATTAAAAAGAAAAGGGGAGGAAAAAAAATGAAGAGTTATAGTTGGGTTTCAAACAAATATCCAATTCAAAATGGTTACATGAACTCAAGCGCGAGTATTACTCTGCAACACAATTCCTACACGTCATGAGTCATCCATGACTCATGGATGTCTTTTTCCATCCTCTGCAGATGCAAACTGAATGGTTCATCAAAATCCTCCACCATATCCATCCATCTGAACCCTAAACAACAAAATGAGTGGTGCAAATTGAGGGTGGAGTTCATTTACCTTGCTTGTCGTTGACACAATATGTTTCTTTCATGCAATGCAGGGGGAAGAACCTATACCACATACACAGAAATCTAAACTTCACAACAGCAAATAGCATCAGTTTCCTGAGTCTCAACTTCCAACCATTTCCTTCCTAAGCTATCTACTTTTGAAGGTTCGTTCTAGTGCAATTATAATTCTTGCAATCGGAACAGTGGCTGCCACATCTGCACAGTCCCTGCATAGTTCTATCTCCATCAAATGAAGGTATAGGGAGTTTGTCAATTTACCTATATATCCGAACCCCACCACTGGATCATAGAGAAACTAGATGAAGGCTTAAGCATTCATCAGCCCATTGACACGCCAAATACTCAAAATAACAGTGTAATTGTTTAATTGCTCTTGTTCATCTGAATCACCAAAAGAGAAAGCAACCACACCGGTGATGGTCAGATGTGATTGTGCAGTTGATAAATGGATTGTAATTGTTACCTCAATGTTGGAATGAGCAAGAATGATCTCCTTAAAGCAGCTTTAGTACCTATGCTAACTTACAAATCTGTTTGTTTAACTAATAAGAATAATATGTGACCCCAAAGGAGAAGGGATCAAAGATAACACTCATGCCAAGTAATCCAAACAAAGCACAGAATAGATGAGTAAGGAGTTACAACAACAAAGCAATACCTACCTCAACCCCTTCTCCTCTACATTGATGCTAGAGAGATCATATAGTCTCAATAAAGCTGTGAGAACAAAAAACAGTTTCACACATGAAGAAGAGATAGAACTTCAGAGTCTAAAACATACATTCATCATAATTTTTTGAGTTATAAAAATGTCTACCTCCACTTTGCAAAGTTCAGAAGTCTATCTTTATAATCCTCTAACATTGGTGAACTGGACTCTTTGTTGAGCTCCTGTGACTGGGTCAAACAGGAGACTGTGACCTGCTTCTGTCACGTTCTCGGTTCCTATCCCTTCCATTTCTGGAATTACTGTACTTCCAATCTGAACCCCTGTCTCTGTCACGAGTCCCTCTGCCATTCCTATCATAAGACCTTTCATGTTCACGATCTCTTTCTCGGTAGCGATCACGTTCCCTTCCATAATCCCTATCACGGTACCTGTCCCTATCAGATGAACCACTTCTATGCCTGCTTTCATATTCTTTCTCCCTTTGCTTCCTTTTTTCTTCCACTTCTTTCTCCCTTGCCAATCTTTCCTCTTCCTTTGCCTTCTCTCTTGCAGCCTAAAATGAAAAATTAGTTCATCATTTGCACAATCAACTTCCACTTTATTCAAGGAATAAAGTATAAAAGGCTGAGTTTTCTCTTTGGGCAAGGGGGCTATTACCTTGTATTCAGACAGGAAATCTCGAACCATGCCATAACCAACATGCTGCTTGCCTGTGACATGAGACTGAGTCCTCTCAGCAGCATCATTTGCAATTAAAAAGGAGCCACATGTTTCACACAATGCCATCTTTTTCTCCTGTGCCATCATTAACACATTGCTTTGCTGTGATTGCTGAGTCAAGGCTGTCTTTTCAACATTAAGCAATTCCACCTAAAATAAGAGTTAATAAGCATAATAAGTTTCCACAGTATTTGAGGGTGAAAGAATGACTATAATACTAAATAATATTCCTTTTCCACATCCTTCTTGTTACAATAATAAAATCTTTTTCTTGAGCAGTTGAGCTATAATAGTAGTTTGGCAAGAAGATAATATTAACTATTGGAATTTTTGGGATAAATGAATAATGGAAAAAAGTTTTGAGAAGCCCTACAACAGAAGTAATTTGAGATACCTTTCTCATTAGTGCTTCAGCTTCATCCACCTGTCCAGCTTCACCAAGAGACTCCACTTGTTCCAGTAAGTTCTTAATCTTTTCTTCCAGAACAGATAACTGCTCAGATTTTTCTGCTGAAATTGGGGGAGGTGGGGGAGGCACATCCTCTTGATCAAGGCGTTCTCGACCACGCCTAACTCTTCTATCTAGGTCCATAACCTAGAATACAATAATCATCACAATGAACTGTTCTGTCACTATACTTCCATCAGGAAGTATATTAAAAGCATAAAATATTAAAACTTACCAACTTCTCACAAAAATGAGCTAGCTCTCCTTCAAACTTGGGAACATATGAATCATGTCTTGGGGACGTCTCAAAACTGGAAAACAACAAAAAGCTCCCAGGACTCAGAAATGGGGCACATTATAAATTTAACTGATAATAATAATAATCTCAGTTCCCCATCAGCGAAGGAAAAGAAAGCACTGGGAAGGTAGACTAAATGTAATTTAGATTTGGAAAACCTATAGTCAAGGGCAATAAGGTTTATATTGTAACAGGAAATCAGACTATTAGTTTAAAAAAATACTCTGTATTTCTGTAAATAATTTTTTTTTTATTAAAAAAAAAAAACATTTGTCAATAAATGCCTCAACTATTAGTCTTCTAGACAGGCTAAAAAGAGAAACCATTAAATCAATTTCCAAATCCAAACACATAGATGAAGTAGCATTAATACTGTTTGCCGTCATAACTAAAGGGGCATTTCGTTCATAACATTTGAAAGAGGGAATGGGATTCAAATGTCATTTTTTAGGGCAAAGCAACCAAAAACAAATGCATCCAGTATGAATTTTTGTCATTAACGAGTAATCCACGAGCGAACCGTTATTCACCCAGCTTCTGCGATTCTTCATCACTGCATCCACCTTCATTCAACCTCATCTAACCTTCTCATCGCCATGGTCACCATAATGAATATTTTAGTCCAAATCTGAAGATTCCTAGTTTAGATCTAGAACTTGGATTGGTATTAGAGGTGATGGTGACAGTGGATTTCAGTGTCGTACACTTACACTAAGTACTTCAAACCATGAATGCCATAGTGGACAGAAGAGGTTGAAGAATATGAGGAGTGGTGAGTTTGTGTCCTTCCAATCAAGATTGAGGATTCAACAAATGGTTCTTTCAGGAGAAAAATTTGGGCCTCAAGAAATCTTCTAGAGAGAGAAACAAAGAGGGATCAGAAGCAATAGTGTAGAGAAAGAGACGCGTATGCTACAAAACGGAGAATTCTACAGATAAGGGTAACAGAGGGTTTGTGAGGAACTGGAAAAGTTCGTTTTGTTTTGTTTTTTACCTGGAAAGGTCAACCACCATAGTGGGGTAAAGGCCAGGTGCACCTTACCAAATTTTGTTAATACCATAATAAAGACATAGCGTGGAGGTGGAACATCGGGCCAAGGAGACTACTACAATCCCTCTGTGCAAGTTATAGAGAGGAAAGGTTGGGTTTAAAATTATAATGTATTATTTCTTATGTTTTAAAAAATTAAAACTTATGTCTTCCCAATTCCAGTTTTCAACCAAACAAACATAGCTACTTTGACTAAAATTCACTCCAATCACTATGTACTTCGTATTTGATTCTGATTCCCTAGTTTGAACCAAACGCCCCTAAACGTAGACTAAGACCTCCAAAATTTCAGAATGTATTAATTTTATTTCACTTCTGCAAGAATGCTGCAAGAGTATCCAGTGCCAAGATTGGAAAGTGAACCAATAACGGCAATAAGTCAACAAATTGGAAATGTGAAAAGAAAATTATATAACCACAATTTGATATATATTCTAGTTGAAGCACACTATCATGATTTCCATTTTATTTTAATTTCTTCAATAAGTTGAAGCACTACAGTATAAAACATAAGATTTCTGTTTACCTTTCCTTCAACTTTGGATCATGAACTTTTGGACATGGTCCTGATGTCAAACACAAAGTCAAAAGATGTTATCCCCATCAAGAGAGTTGTAATAGATGGTTAAAAAAAAAAAAAGTAAATGTTGTACATAAGAAAAAATTTCTACAAACAAGTAAACTGTTTTTTAATGCCAACAAGGAAAAATTTGGCAATATGTGAAACCAAATACATAAAACAATGTTTTGAGTTTTTATACAGTTCTAGACTAAAAAATTATCAAAATCTAATAACAATAACAGATTACCAAAATATGATCACCACATGCAAGGAGTTGAAACTTGAAAACTTACCCAAATCACTCCGAGTATTGACAAACAAATCATGGGGGCAAAACCGAACCATATAGAATCGACAAACTTCCTTGTCATCCCATGTGAGTTCCTTGTAACCCTTCCTTTCTTCTTCAGTTAAATTACGAGCTATGAAATGCGCCAAATAAAATGAACACCATTATCAGCAAATAGCAATAACAACTATTTTTTAACAACCAAGGAATTGCAGATAGCGGATGTAAAGAATTTCTCTGCTTCTAGATTTCTCAAATTTTAAATACATTGCAATGAGCAAGCGAATTAAAACAATTGGATGCAGATAACGTGATCCTACACTTCTAGTGTGTGTATAAAAAAGCTAATGCAGCATTTTCGCTACGAGATTTAAGTCGAATGATTCACATTCAAGTGCTAGCTCTGTTCCAGTTGCAATTTCGCCCAATGCAAGCGCTAACTAGAAGCTGCAAGGCGGTGCTTAAAGGTTTATTAACTAAAAGTGAATTACGACACTGAATCAAAAAGCAAATACGAAAGTGATATACGATTTAGAGTTTTAAGACAGAGATAATACATGCGCCCATAAGTTCATCGAGCAATGCTCGCTGAGCATCCATGACGGAGATTTCTGGAGAAGGTGAGAGAGACGAAGCACAGCCGGCGCTCAAACCGTCGGAATGTTTAGGATTTGATGCGACTATGTGAGCAGATATGATAGGAGAGGTGAGTTTTCAGCCACGGTTAGGGTTTCATCAAAATCAACAAAATCTCTGAAGATTGTTGTCAGCTGAGTAGCTCGGTTTCGTGGCTTGGCATTTGATGATAATTGATACTGAACCCGAGTGCAGAACCAGCTGACAAGCAACGTCTTTGACATGGGCCGTTGGTATAGTTATAGGCCTGTAATGAAAAAGTATAATGTATACTTGGGCCGGCCCAAACACTTTCTTATGTGATAGTTGAGAAATTGCAAAGCTATCAATCTGATTGACAAATTGACAATCATGGGCCGGCCCAAACACTTTCTTACATGATAGTTGACAAATTGTCCCGTGACACAGCTCAACTTGTCAATTAATTCAAAATAAATTCATAAATTTCGCTTTCGTAGAATGTTCAAATCCTACCAAGAATAAAAAAAGAGGGATGGATTTTGTCTTGTACTCAAAACTATCAATCTGGTTCTTTTTTTCCCTTTTTTTTTTTTTTTTTTTTAGAAGAAAACACAGCCTTCATATATTAATTGGAAATATTACAACAGAAAGAAAAGAAGGAGGTGAAGCCACCCATTCCCTATAATCAGCTATGAACACAGCTTCCTTAGTTAACATATCAGCCGCCGCATTTGCAAATCGCTTATAATAAACATAAAGTTAATTCTATGAAATTCATTAGTTAGTTTACAAATATCCTCAAGGACTAAATCAAAAGAATAGTACCAAGTACCTTGTGGTCTAATGGTACCAAATTGAACTTTCGTATTTGGTATGAGTTAATACCAAGGGTTTCTCGGGTATAGTGATTTTGTCACGTTTAGTCATAACCTTTCAAATTACCACCTATGTCCTTTGACTTTCAAATTGTTACCATCCGTAGTCTAAGTTAACCATCAATGGTCCTTTAACTTTCAAAACTTAACTAGCCGCGGTCCTCTTGGAAGGACCATGTAGTTTAAGTTAACCACCCAGGTCCTTCAACTTTCAAAATTTAACCAGCCGCGGTCCTCTTGGAAGGACCATGAGTGGTTAAGATTTGATAGTTGAAGGACTATGTGTGGTTAACTTGGACCACGGATGGTAACAATTTGAAAATCGAAAGATCATGTGTGATAATTTGAAAGTTTAGAACTAAACGTGGCAAAATCACTATACTTCAAGGATTCTAGATGGTATTAACTTTGGTATATTAATATAAAAAAGTATATGGTTGACACCTTAGAAATTTTTGTCCATCAGCCCATGCACGTAGTGAGTGTACCCATTGACTCCATATAGGGGTGTGCAAATTTCGGAGAAATTTCGGTTAACCGACCGAACCGACGAAATTCGGTTAACCGTTTTCGAACCGAAATATTTCGGTTCGGTTAATGGTTAAAGGTTTTCTTAAAATTCGGTTAACGGTTAATTCGGTTCGAAAGTGTCGGTTAACCGAATTAACCGAACGGTTAACCGAATTTTAGAATATATATATAATATATAATATATTAAATATTAAATATATAATTACTAAAATAAAAAATAGTCAAAATGTCAAATAGAATACATAATAATATGAATTTATTATGATATGTATTTTATTTTAATTGGAATTATTATTTTAGGAATTATTTTATGGATTTTAAATTTTAGGGTTAAAAATTTCGGTTAATCGGTTAACCGACCGATTAACCGAAAAAAAGTTCGGTTCGGTCAACTCGGTAGAGTAAATTTCGGTTCGGTTAACGGTTAAAGCAAAAAAAAGTTCGATTAATTCGGTTCGATTAAAACGGTTCGGTTAACCGAACGGTTAACCGAATGAACACCCCTAACTCCATATATTGAAGTCTTGAACACAGTTGACATGCGAACAATTCAAAAGAGACTAATAACGTGCTCCCAACTCTTGATTCCGGTGCCCATATATATTCCAGCAATTCTTTATTATAATTCCATCAAATTCAACCTCATCATCATATGTGTATAAATATATATATATATACACATATGATCAATCTCCTACGGGAGTGCACTCTTAACCCGCCGCGCCATGGAAAGCTACAATCGCAGCCGGAAGCAACCGCCGCCGGTTATACCTCGCTCCCCGGCGGCCTCGCCTCGATTGCTAAGAAGCAGAAGCGGAGGAACTTCGTCAACGGCAACGCCGCCGCCGTATTCCTCAGAGACCGGATCCAAGTTCGTCGGTCGTTCAAATTCAACCACAATTTTGAGAAGCTACGAAAATGTTAGCGCGATTACTGATAAAAAACATAAGAAATCTCAAAAGGATCATCGTAGCAGCATGAAAGCGTCCATGTCTCCTTCGGCGTGGGCGTTGTCTCCGGGACGATCTTTGCCTAGCTCGCCGGCAATGGCGGTTCCGAATTCCCCGCGCTCCAAGGGCTTCAAGATGGACGCGAGTGCAGTGAGCGGAGTTTTGAAGTACTTCAAGCACAAAAAGGTGTCCCCTGTGCATCAAGAAGAGTACCATCAGTTCCGAATCATGAACAACAGATTGCTGCAGTGGAGATTCGCCAATGCCAGAGCTGTGGCTTCTATCCCTACCATCAAGTTTGCTGCGCAGGTAACAAATTCAAACTCAGAAACCTATTCTCTCAATCACTCAAATACAAAAATATTTGTACATTATATGCTCAAAAAATACGATTATTTATATGCAGAATAAATTGTTCAATGTTTGGTTAAGAATCTGGACAATGAGGAAATTCATAGCAGAGAAACGGATGAAAATGCAGCAATTAAAGCACGAGATCAAACTGAAGAGGATATTCAACTCACAAGGAGGATTGCTCAAAGATTGGGCAAAAGTAGAGGCTAAAAGTTCTGAGGCTGTTGGCAGGGTGGCAAGAAAGTTGTCAGCAATCTCTATTTGCCTACCTCTCGTGGATGAAGCTCAGGTAGGAATAAATCTTTGTCAATTTAAGTCAATTAAGGCTATGTTTAGTAACATAATTAGCTTATAAGCTAATTTTGACTTATCCAGCTGTTTGACTTGGTTAAACGTGTTTGATTAATTAAATGCTAAAATTCAAAAAACTGCTCAAAGTAGCTTTTGCGGTCAGTTTGAGAAAAACCATTTCATTTTGCATATAATCAGCTAACAACTGATTTACCGAACATTTTTCAACAATAAGCTAATGTTATCAACTAGTCAAACCCACTAACCCAATCAATTAACAGCTATTTACCAAACACCCACGTCTTAATATAATTTCGATCTATTTGAACACACAACTAATTGATGAATGTGGTAGCTAGGCAGATGTGGTGTCAGTGAAGGATGCTATTGTGAAAGCAGAAGGAATGGTGGACAACATACAAGAATTGATCATGAAAAAGCAATGGCAATGGCAGGTTGAGCAATCTTGTTATCTACTCACACAACTTATATCCATCCTAAAGCAGGAGAAAGTGTACTTGGAGGAGCTACATAAGAAGATTACACTGGTTATCTCAAACAAGGTTACAACTTTAATTTTTACATTACGTTTTAGTATTATATATATGAGATACTGTTTTATATTGTATTGACTGTATCCTTATCATATAAGATAAGACTAATACAGTTTTAAGGCCTCATCTAGAGACAACTCTTTAGAAAACTGTTATATACACATTTGTTTCACCTTCAAACTTATAGTTACGATATTTGATTTTGAAAATCAATTGTATTATTATATTTTGCAGGTAGAAGAGGAAAGCTTAAGAGTACATCATATCCAACAAGTTTGGGAGTTGAGAAGAGGTTAATGAAGGCTTTATCAAATTAAAAGAAGTGATCAGCTAGCTTCAAGCACGTACATCAAATTGCCAATTCCATATTCAAGAATTTTGATTATATTTCTGCTACAAATTAATATGCATGTATATGGTAAAAAGGCTGTCAAATGTTATTATAATACAATTTAATTTAATTTTTTTCAAGGAAAATCAAGATTTGAATTTTCAATATCTGAAATTTTAACCATACACATTATTATTTCACAAAATATTTAAAATACCTATATATGACTTAGTCATGGACGCCGTCGGTGTGCGACAAAATCAATAAATGACGACAAATACATCTTGAAATTAAGCTTCTATCTCCACCAAGTTTTTAGTGCAGGAGCGGTGGGAACCCTCAAAGTTGAGATGTAATTCTTTTGATGATTAAAAAAAAAGGTGATAATAGTGGGGCAACTCCCAACCAAGTTAGTCGTAAAATTGGTTTGAACTTATATATTAACTTTCTTGATTTGAGTTGGTCAATTACATCAATTATAAGCAATTTAGGCTGATTTAATTCTTTGTGGTCTTAAAAAAAAAAAAGAAGATACTCCTTTAAGGTCTTTCACTGACTAGGATCACAGAATGCGAACTTCACCCAGAGTGCACATTTACTTAGCTACGGGCTTTCCAATAAATTAAAAGTTGTAATGATAACAAATTAAATCCAAAGCTAAAACTTAAACTTCCAAATATTACAAATGGAATCCTATACTTACATGCATGATATTCGGGACAAGACACACTTAAGAGCTCTGATCTACTAATACCTTAAGAAAATCAAAAATAGAAAATATCTTCTGCTATACCAATCCCCCATAATAAGGTTAGAAAAACAAACAAAAATTAAAGAAAAAAAAATCCAAATCCAAATCCAAATCATATTAACACTCAACAGTTGTCTTTTGGATCAAATTAGAAATAACACCACTACCATTACCGCCGCCGCTTTCACCGCTCCCGGCGGGCAATTTCCTCTTAGGTTTGGCCTCTTGCAACATCGACACAACATCCCGCATTGACGGCCGGTCGGCTGGATTCCGGCTAGTGCATAGCAATGCAATCCTAAGTAACAATATCATCTCCTCCTGTACCAAAGGGCAAGACGCACCCGCATTTTTATCCAACACGTCTGTCACGCCATCTCTAACCTTCACTTTAGACCTCACCCAATCCACAATGCTATTGCCTTCTCCAAACTCCGGGTCCATCGATCTCTTCCCCGTCAAAACTTCCATCAACACAACTCCATAACTATAAATATCACTCTTCACATCGACTTGTAATGAATACGCATACTCTACAAAAAGTAATTACACACATCCATCAATATCCAATAATAACTAATGATTTTTAATGAGATAT